ATCCAATCACTCTACCATATTACCATGCTACAATATTGTCACATACCACCTTACCAATCTGTACCCCCCTTTTCCATACAATATCCTACCACCCTACAATATTACCGCTCCACAGTACTGTCACATACCACTCTACCAAACCATACCCTCCTATTCGATACAATATCCAATCACTCTACCATATTACCACGCTACAATATTGTCACATACCACCTTACCAATCTGTACCCCCCTTTTCCATACAATATCCTACCACTCTACAATATTACCGCTCCACAGTATTGTCAGATACCACTCTACCAAACCATACCCTCCTATTCTATACAATATCCAATCACTCTACCATATTACCACGCTACAGTATTGTCACATACCACCTTACCAATCTGTACCCCCCTTTTCCATACAATATCCTACCACTCTACAATATTACCGCTCCACAGTGCTGTCACATATCACTCTGCCAAACCATACCCTCCTATTCTATACAATATCCTACCACTGTGCCATATTACCACTGTACAATACTGCAACATTGCACTTTACCAAAGTATACCCTCCTATTCCAGACAATATCCTACCACTTTACCATATTACCACTTTACAATAATGACACATACCACCCTACAAAACAATACCGTCCTATTCCATACAATATCCTACCACTCTACTATATTACCACTCTAAAATACTGTGACATACCACCTTACCAAACTATACCGTCCTATTCCATACAATATTTTACCACTGTAACATATTACCACTTTACAATACTGTCACATACCACTCTACCAAACGACACCATCCTATTGCATACAAAATCCTACCACTCTACTATATTACCACTCTACAATACTGTAACATTCCACATCACCGAACTATACCCTCCTATTCCATAGAATATCCTACCGCTCTGCCATATTACCACTCTATCACACTGCACCCAGGCACAAGACCATACTGTACTCTTTCACTCTCTCATACTGTGCCCTACCACTCTGACAAACAGTAATCCATCACTCTGTTTTACTATATCCTACCTCGCTACCATGCTAAGCTATTTCTTGCCTGCCTCACATACTCTATCATTCTACCCTATCATATTGCACCCGAGCACTCCACCATACTACATCCTACCACTCTACCATTCTATGCCCTACCACTCTACCATAAAAAACTATATCTCTCCATCATATTATATCCTGCCACTTTACTATACTAAGCTATATTGTACCTCTACCATACTGTATGCTGCTACAGTGATATAATATATCCTGCCTTTCTATCATACTGTACTTTAACTCTATAGCACATTTTGCATCCTACCACTCTACCATGCTACCGTACCACTCTGTCATACCATATTCTACCACTACATACTAAATCATAACTATTTACAAAGCATGTGAGAAACACGTGGTACACTTAGTTATTGAGTCAGAATATTTTTATAATGGATGTTTTGTTTTGTTAAATGCGAATGTAAGTCGGTCAGACATGTAAGGCAGCTGTACCCGTGTTTTTGCTGTTGTAGCCTGTTTGGGAACATTCAGGAGGAGGTGGTGAAGGATGCCGAGAGCGTTAGGATACAGCATCAGCAGCACCTGCAGCAGTACAGCTGTACTCTGGACGAGTGCTTCCAGCTCTACACCAAAGAGGAGCAGGTACACCTCCGTCCTGCTGTACTCATCCTCTACACCTCCTCCACTTCCCGCCTCCTCTGCTTCTCTCCTCCTCTCCCTCTATCCAACACTTCCTTGATCCTCTACCCCTCACTCTTCACTCCCCGTCTGCCCTGCTCCACTTCTCTGTTCTCTACTCCTCCTCTACTTCCCCTCTTCCTTCACTCCCCCTGTCCTCTACCCATCACCCTTGACTTCCTCTTTCCTGTGCTCCTGTTCTCCTCTAATCCCCCATTTTACTCCCTCTATCCTGGGCCTCCCTTGAACTTAACTGCCCCTGCCCTCTACTGGACTCCTCCTCTACTCTCTCCTCCTTCACTCCATCTATCCTGCAGTTCCCCTACCCTTCACTCCCCCTGCTCTGTAAACCTCATCCTTCCATCCATCCATCACCTCTGTTCCAATTCTAATCCAATGCACCGCTCCTACTTACCTTCTCCTCCACTCCTGTTCTTCCCCTCTCCCCCACCCCTCCCTTCGTCTCACAGTCCCCCTGTCCTGCTCGTGACCTGCAGCCATGCCTCTACTGTACCTTTAATGCAGATTCATGTTTTTTTCTGCAAGGGCAGTTATATGGCTCTGAAGGTTTACACCAATAACACTACTCTGGAAATCTCCTAGAGATGCACTCCACTTGTCCAGTTTGCGCCAGTCTAGGTTGATTTATATCCTTTTCTGGAAAATGGAATTAGTTTGCTGAGGTGCTTATTTGGCCAAATACAAATTTTTCATTAACTCCAAATTTTAGGTCTCTGTCCTGTGTCATCACAGATTTCACATCTTGCTTTGTGCTGCTTGAGGTTATTTACATGAGTGAAAAGAAATTGCTGGTATGACACTAAAATGTGGTAGAGTGTATATAAACTATAAACTATATGAGTATAGTTTTCTAAAACTTTGTCCGTTGGTGTGTGTCGATCTGTGGAAATCTGCAGGAGTTCAGTTACTGGGAGGAGATCTGTGGGGACAGTGACCTGCTGTAAAGACCCTGCTGACTGCTCCAGCTCCATTAGCGCTTTCCCAGTGCTAATACCTGTGTGCTCTCTGTTCTAATGGCTTGGCCTCATCCCTAGTTCAGTGATAGGGTTATGATTTCGGGCAGTCACTGGGATATTGCACATTTACGGTACGCTTACTGATTGAATATTCTGTACTTAATAGGGTAACGTTACCCTCCTATTTAAGTGGAAAAAATAATAAATTGTCCACTAGGTGGAGCTGTTTTATATATCCTAGATGTATCCCACGAAGAATTGCCTGGATCATCTACATGCGCAAACACTGGTGTATCGGCAAGATGTTGACTATGGCCAGTCTGTCCTCCCTGTGGCCTGCTGCTGAGTTTAAATTGTGACCTCTCAGTAGGACTAAGTTTAAAAAAGTTTTGACACGCTTATACTTTATCCTTGGGCTGAAAATGTGCTGTTTAAACAGACAATCTTTTGTAAGCATCATGGGCAGAAGGGGAGACACTAAAGCCTCTGAGCCGTGTTGAGGTCTTTGCTTTTTAGTCTAAATTTAACGGCCTTCTAAACTAAATGTTTTCTCATTATGGGAGATATTTTGGTCTAATAGGCATTGAATGGGGGTGAAAAGAAATCAGCTTTTCGAAAGCCTGGAGTCAGAGAAGTATTTTATGTGAAAAATGCTCATGATATTCCCCGCCACTGCCACAGTTGTGTGAGGCGTAAGGAGACCAGTTTTAAGACTGAGAGACTGTGAAGAGAGGAGAATCTGTGGCCTTTCTCAATCTCCCTAGTGGCAAACAACATACAACGTGGCTGATTTAGCATCAAGTTGCCCTCCTCAAAGTTGGCTGGATGTCGATCTGCTGCAGATGGTTTTCTCAAAAGTGCTTTTTTTGATAGGTGGCATGAAACTGGCGGTGGGAATATGGTAGAGGCTATAGCTGCACAGCTTATATCCTCGTAAGCATACCTAACCCTTAGAGCACTGAAATAAATTTTTCAAAAATATTAATTTAATTATCTTGTGCTTTTGAAAACCTATCATGTAGCAACTTGTTTAAACAAGTCACCACATGATAGGTTTTCACCAGCTTTGATTTCGACGTCTTACATCATTGAACAACAATAGCTGCATTTAGCACTCTAAGGGTTAATGTTACAATATATTACAGTCTTTTAGCTGTTGCTTTCTATTCTGAATTCCACAAAGCAGGGCCCAATCCTTCCTTTGAGCAATGCTGGCTCATGGGCCTTCCTCAAGGGCCGAGCAGCGGTTATCACTCTGGCTGCATTTGCACTTGAAACACAAAACTTGTCTCCCAGTCAAACGCCTTAGCCACTCGGCTATATATTAATGTAGAATAGTTTTATAGCTGACCATAACCATTTACTCATGGGGAAGGGTGGATTTATGTTGCCCCGTGCTGTTTAGGTACCCGCCACTGTAACAGCTGGCCGTTACTCATTAGCTATCTAACCTCTGTTCTTCTTTATAGTACTGTCTCTCTGTTGTTTCATCAGTGAAAAATGCTGGGGACCTCTCCTTCTGCAGAGTTGTAGTGTGTATTTTACATTACGTTTTTGGCACATACTTTTATCGAAAGTGACAGACAGTAAGCTCTGGCGGAATGTACTTTAAGTATCAATTTGTTTGAAGCAAACTTTGAGCGCAGCCTAAACAGCAAACATAGGCTAGTTCTCATAGAGCAACGGAGTGACTACAGTAGCAATGCTAACCAAAACAACTACAGCGACAGCACCTCATTGGCTTGTGCACTAGCCTATGGGAGGAGTCCACACACCTCGGATCTAGCCGAGATGAGAGCCGAACAAATAGTTTCTCTTGCATTGGAATATGATATGAAGCTGAACTCTCCAGAATTTGCACTTTACCAGGTGAAGCTGTATCATTGTAGAGGTTCGTGATGCCTATCTGCTTATATCTGGACCTGCTCAACACCTTCCATGATTGGAGAAGCTTCTGTTGTTTTATTACATCTTAGTTACTTGGTTTCTGTCCCATACGGCTCACATTTTTGGACAAATGTCGCCTTGTGGCGTTAAGTGCCTAAGAGCTGCACTGATCTTATTTGTGCTACGATGGCATCTATGGCTGAAACCACCAACCCTCTGAGTCCCAGACTAATGCCTTTATCACTCGGCCTTGAGGAGTCTCCAGTGCAGCTGCTCACATGAGTTGTGCTACCCATGCAAGTATCTTTCATGGAGCTTAACTCTTGAATTATGTGCTCCCACTTACAGTTCTGTTGTGTAAATGATGCATCTGCATTTCTGCATCTGACGGTGTCGTGATCTGATGACATTATTATGCAGCGTGTCATGCCCGCGGGGCAGTATGCTGGTGCAGTGGGAAGCACATTTGCTTCACAGCAGGAAGGTTGCTGGTTCAAATCCAGCCTGGGGCCTTTCTGTGTGGAGTTTGCATTTCCTCCCCGTGTTTGTGTGGGTTTCCTCCAGGTACTCCAGCTTCCTCCCACAGTGCGAAGACATGCTTGTCAGGCTAATTGGAAACTCTAAATTGCCCATAGGGTTGAGTGTGTGTGTATGTGAATGGTGTGTGTGCCCTGTGATGGATTTGCAAGCTGTCCAGGGTGTGTCCCTGCCTTTTGCCCTTAGTCAGCTGGGGTAGGCTCTGGCTCAACTGCGACCCCAGTGAGGAAGGTTTATATGATGGACGGATGGATGGATGAATATATTGCCTGTTCATCATCTCCTCAGCACATTGATGCGGTTTTTTCCGCTAATTCTACTGCTAGAGCCCCTTAAACAATGACTTTTGTTCCAGCTTCCATGAGTTTCAGGGCCTAGCACAATAATTATTTAGCTGTAATTAGTTTTCACCGACTTCCGGAGTTCCCTGCCGCTTCAATCCTTCACCAAGCCCCCCCCACCACCGCCCCCCTGCCGCCCTCTCCCAAGCCGGTCTGTAATTCTCTGTGGGGGGGCAATCAGGCTTGAAGCTGATGCGTTAAGTTTGGAGAGAACTGTGCTGTTATAAATAAACACGCCCCTGGAGGACGCCAAGCTTGTTCCTCACGGGCGGCTGACTCAATCGGCACCATGTTATGCTCCAAAGAGGAGGTGACGGTGAGGTCTGAGGGAGTCAGGTGGTGTGGGATGCGTGTCTGTGAGCTAATGAAGGACTATGATCTAATAAGCTAAGTTATGGGCAGGTAAGGGCTGCAGTGGGCCCTGGAAACAACAGCGAGGAAAGCGATTAACAACAAGACATGGACGTTCCATTTTATAGCGACAAGATGTATTTTGCTGTGTTTCTGTGCGCCTCCACGTGTTATGAGCAAGATATTTACCAAATCCAGAGCGGTATTCAAACCCTGGTCTCTCGCTCATATTATATTGGTTGGTAGTCCTGAGTGTCATCAGTTAGCTGAGGACGAAATCTCCCGTAGCCAAGGGAACGGTGGAAATCTGATGGTTGCTTCATCCGTGAGTTTGCTTTCATGTGCACCTGCTGTGGCCTTCTACTCTGCAGGTCATTTATCAGCGAACTAGCCCTGCTAACCTTGACTCATGCGTGTGTGTGTGTGTGTGTGTATGTGTGTGTGCACGTACGCTCTCCCCCCAGCTGGCTCCAGACGACGCCTGGAAGTGCCCGCACTGTAAGAAGCCGCAGCAGGGCACGGTGAAGATGAGCCTGTGGACTTTACCGGACATCCTCATCCTGCACCTCAAGCGTTTTCGGCAGGTGAACGAGAGACGACACAAACTCTCCACGCTGGTGCGCTTCCCGCTGGCCGGCCTGGACATGGCGCCGCACGTGGTGAAGCGGAGCCAGAGCCTGCGGACCCTGGGCCCCTGGCCCCCCGCCTGGAAGCAGCATCCGCCCCGATCCCCTGACTCCGGACCATCCCCCAACTTCCTGTACGACCTCTACGCTGTCTGCAACCATCACGGAGGCATGCATGGGGGCCACTACACGGGTACGCACAACAATCGAAAAACCGTCTCTGTGCTGCGCGTGTTTTTCGTCCTGCATCAGATCAAAATACTTGCTTGTCTGATTTGTAAACAAATGTAATGCTTTATGATGCAAAACATCGTGAAGCATCCTGTTCGTGATATCAGATGTGGTATCTCTTAAATTAAGGTCGATTGTCTCATCAGAATACCTGCTGGGATACCTCGTGTGAAACAATGATAATGTTGCTATGTGGTACTGGTAATGTTATATGTGCTTTATGAATACTCACCTATGAAAACTGTCCATGTAAGGGCAGAGTAAATCTTAGCTTAAGAGTCAGCTGTTAGTTTATTCTGACCCCTACTCTGGTTGCGCTAATATTTGGAAATGTATATGTTTGTGTGTGTGCTGTGGGTAACATATGTCGTGGTCCATGTGTACCACTGAGATATAAAATTGGCTCACTGGTCTTTATTTGTAGTTTGACCTTTTATGAATTTTGTCCTTTCTGAGAAACGTCTCAGAATTGCTCTCGCTTTCAGGTTATTTTTACCATCTTGTATCGAGGGGGGCTATCTTTGTTGTGGGAAAATTAGCCAGATCCAGTATTTTATTAACCTATATTATAGCAGCCGTGCATGTAAACTTGATGACTTATTTGAGGTAACTTTAAAAAACAAGCTGAGGAATTTCTTTTCTGTCTCATGCGTAGCAGCAGAAAGTGACTGTGACAGCACTCTTAGAAAAATAGTTTATAGCACGTAGCTGTGAAGAGCTCAGTCACATGTTCATTACCTGACCCCAGTATAAACTGAAAGCAGCTCATTTAGTGTCATTCTGTAAACTGTAATCCATGATGGGTGAAGTATTTTGCCTTACACTAGGCTTTAATGATAGTAGGATTTAGAGTACGCAGGGTGACTCAGATAAAATTAGCACAGTCTAAAGACTGTTTCTTTCTGCGTGTGTGTGTGTGTGCATGTATTTTGTGTGCATGTGGGTGTATATTTCTCTGTGTGTGTATGTGTGCATGTATACATTGTGTGTGTGTGTGTGTGTGTGTGTAAATTTGTGGCTGTATGTATGTGCTGGTATGTATCTGTGTGTGTGTTTGTGTTCTTGTGTATGGGTGTGTCTGCTTGTGTGTGTGTGTGTGTGCATGTGTGTGTGTATGTGTTTGTGTGTGTCTTGCACACGCAGCGTACTGCAGGAACTCAGTGGACGGGCTGTGGTACGGGTATGATGACTGCAGTGTGGACCTGGTGCCAGAGGAGGAGCTCTGTACCCGAGGGGCTTATATTCTCTTCTACCAGAGACGCAATGCCATTCCGCCCTGGTCTGCCAGTAGCTCCATCAGAGGTGAGTCCAGCCATTCAGTCCCTTTGACTCACTGATGACTGACTGAATCACTGTTGACTGATGAATGACTGACTGAATCACTGCTGACTGATGAATGACTGACTGAATCACTGCTGACTGACTGATGACTGACTGATTACTGACTTACAAACTGATGACTGACTGCTGACTGACTGACTGACAGCTGATAATTCTCTGCTGTCTGACTGACAGACTGATGAACTGACAGCTGACTGACTGACAAGCAGATGATTGACTGCTACCTGACTGACTGATGACAGACTGACAAACTGATAAATGACTGCCAGCTGAATGACAGACTGATGACTTACAGGCTAATTACTGACTGATGAACTGAATGTCTGACAAAATGCTGACTGACTGCTAATGACTGACTGCTCACTCTGTTGCTAATCGTTGAACTGAGCTGGAATGTCCAAGTTCAGAAAGTTAAAATCATTCTCATTGTTTTTGAATCTCATGGATTTAATGATCCTACAGTGGAGAGGTGGAAGTAAGTATTGAAGCTACCTGGCTGAGCCAATTGATGGAAGAATCACATAACAGAGCTTTTATTTCATTTCAGTTTAACTTTGTCATGATGCTGTGCTAGGTATGTGTAAAACAGAATTTAAGCTGTGATCTCTCAAATGGTGCAAGTAGGAAAAGAGACTACTCAAAGCAGACATAGAATAAATTAGTGGAATTTAAATTAGATGTGCTGGGTGAAAGAAAAAAGTAATTTGTCTCATGAACAACACAACAAAACTTTGGCAAACAAAACAAATCTACAAAATTGAAAGTACTTTTGCTGTTGGCTGACTGCGTGACTCACAGATAGCTGACCGCTACCCGTGAGACTAACCAATAACTGAACGCTAGCCGCGTGATTAATCGCTAACTGACCGCTAACCGTGTGATTAATCACTAACTGACCGCTAACCGTGTGATTAATCGCTAACTGACGGCTAACCCTGAGATAAATCGCTGACTGACTGCTAACTGTGTCACTAGCCTCTAACTGACCATCGACCATATGTTTAACCGCTAACTGACCGCTAATTTGGGCTCACGTCTTCCCCCTGTCCAGGCTCCACCAGCTCCTCCATGTCTGATCACTGGTTGATCCGGCTGACAGGAGACAGTAAGAGGGGCAGCTTTGTTTCCCGAGCCTCCACCACCTGCCCCTCCTCCGCACCAGACTCCCCGGAGTCACCCGTCTTCCAGGAAGAACCCCCCAAGGAAGAGAAAGGTCAGTTGCCATGGTGATCTGTAAATCTTCAGTTATTGAGACTACATTCATATCACATGAAGGCCTTGATTCCAGTCTTTTTCCCATGACTGTTCTTTTCATTTTTGCATGTGACCCAATGACCTATCTGTCATCAACAATCAAGGCACTTCTGTCCCAAACCAGCGGGCATGCATTAGGCTACCAAAACAAATATGTCAAATGCGCACGACTGTACGTTTGTGCAGAGCACGTTAAAAAAACATGTCAAATCCTACCTGACTGTTCTCAGTGAGGTTGCATGACCACTGATCCGAAATGTATCCGATCTGGGACCACTTGAGGAAGTGTCCCGAATTCAAAAGAATCCCATCTTTGTGGCTAGGCTGGTCAGATAATATCAGAATTGTGTCATATGTTGAGCAAAAAGTCTGATTTGGGTTAACTTCACGTGCCATCAACGTGACTTTAGACACACCACAGGCCTGATTTATAAAGGCCTTTGACACGTGCAAGACCTTATTATGCAAGCAAAACTAAGAAAGAGTCAGATGATTGGCTCTAAACAAATACCATAACTGGTCATTGGTTGTGTTACTAGTTTGGCTTGTGTTAAAGTGGTTTTGCACACGCTAATGTGGTTAGCATGTCAGGCCTATGGACTTTACACAGCCTCAATTCATGCACACTACCTCTAATTATTTACCAGTGCGAGAACTGCTTTGACTGTTCAATTTCAGCTGCTAATCTTACCAGTACAGATGGTTTCTGCACCTGTGACAGGGAGCAGCAGCTATATTGTTATGACATAAAAGTGTTATTTTGGAAGGCTGAGAACTTCTGTTTTCATTTATGTGCTAATCAGCCACCAAGGCAAATTTTTCCGGCAGTTCT